TCCTTCCAATGAATATTCAGGATTGATTTTCTTTGGGATTGACTGGCTTAATCTTGCAGCTTGGTAAAATGAGCCTGCTGGACTAGAGTGTTCTCAAGATTGTTTCTAACTCTCACATTCTAAGACAGTCTCAAACTTAAGTGTGCCTAAGAATTCCCTAGAGATTTGTTAAAATGCAGAGTCCAATTCAGCAGGTCTGGGATGGGGCCTGAGACTCCACATTCCTAGCAAGTGAAGTTGACGCTGGTTTGAAGTGTACACTTAATGAAAAAGTATTTGGATTTTGAACTGTCAGGAAACTTTGTTAAAGGCTTGGAATTTGGCAAGAGATTAGCATGTGGGTGGTTTGCTGGTCTGGGGACTATCTGGTGCTGTGAGGTGTGCATATTTGCACACAGTGTCTTCTACTGTCCATACATAAACTCTTTTAGGAAAGTGGGTGGTCAGGTATCACGCTTTCCTGACACCCAGCCCAAGTGTCAAGGGAGAAAAACACTGTATCTCCAGCTTTAGCCAGGTAATTCCCCTCCCAGAGCTAGACCATGGATGTGGTGGAAGAGGTTTTAACCACCACGTGGTCCATTAAGGATCAAGACGTTGAGAGAGGAGGCAGATGGACTTTGAACGGTGGCCTCAGGTTTCCTCCAGTGGTCTTTACACCACGTGCCGCATAGGAGCACTAAGCTGATGGCTTTCACACGTCTGCTGCAAGAATCTGATACTTGTATGTATGTTCAGAGTTTTGCAGTCGCCAAACTCTGGGTGGAGTACTGGATTCAAAGGCGGGGCTTGGAGCCGGAAGGCGGTGCCAGTGACCGAAGAGCGGAACCCGGGACTGTAGTGTGGCGACCCCGGCCTCAAGGAATGCCGGGAGCCGGGACCAGGCAGCGCTCCGCCCGCTTCGGCTCAGCCACCGCCTGTCTGTGTCTGCGGCCGCCACTATTGATAAAGTTGTTGTTCTGCAAACATGGCGGCGCCCATGGTGACTGGCCGGGCCGTGTTCGCCTGAGGTGGGAACCGAGGAGTAAGGAGCCGCAGGCCAGAGCCTGTGAGCAGGTAAACCCCTGACCCGCGCTCAGCGGGACTCGAGATGCGACCTGATCTCCTCTCTCCGCAGACCGATAGATTTCGACTTGCCGGGAGCCAGAAGGGAAAGTGCGGTCTGGGTTCGGTGATCTCGGAGCTGTGCAGTTTCCTAATTGGAAAAGTCTCTGAGATCCAGATCTTAACGCTCTTTGAGCCAGTGACTCCGTTGATAGCTCTGGGCCCTTTCCCAGAAAAACGCATATGTATGCAGAGTTTTGTACTCAAGTCCCTCTCTCCACTCTTCCACTACCCCGGTTGGTCCCTGAATCATATCTGTGACCCACAGATGATCGTCACAGCATGTTAGGTCCTCAGAGATCATCTGGATTGACTCCTTAATTTTAAGGAGAAGCTGGTGTTCCGGACAGAAAATAATTTCTCCAAGGTCAGGTAGAGATTTAGTTGTTTGCACATAACTTGGCTCCTTGTTAATTTCCCAGGTACATTTTTGCACACTTTCTTTTGGGTGCACACTGTGTCCTCCTGTGCTTTTCTCACATACTGTTTATTTGCCTATCTTTTCCTACTCATCTCCTAGGTTTCTCTGTCCCTATATGATTGTTGTTTTGGGTCCAGTTCTCAGGCCTCTCCTTCTATGGTCACATGCTGGTACCCCCACCATTCTCAAAAAGCTTAAACCCTCAGTGAGGTTGAGATCAGGGCTGACTCTTAAAGAGGAATAATGGGGATTGATGCTTTGGAAGGATGTGGTAGAAGAGACAAGGTTCCAAACATCTAGGCAAGGAACTGGATGTGACAGAGCTAAGGAAGAAGAGGGCCAAGTTATCATAACACAAAGCATGAGTCACACCTTTCATATTCATGGTAGGGGCATGGTGCTCTAATAAAATGACTGCTCCTTATCAGCAAGAGGCAGTGTCCATCAGGGCTTTGGTGGTGGTGTGGCCCATAGCAGGGCCTGGGAAGTAAAAGAAGGGAACTGAACTGAACTCTAGGGCTGCAGTAAATCATAACCCTGAGTGCACTATGTGCTGAGTCTGCCTGAGTTTTGGGGTTCCCCTAACATTAAGGGTGTGGACTTCTCTTAAAGGATCTTGACACATATATTACCACATTGCTCCCCAGGGAGATGGAATCAATTTACATTCCACCAGCAGTGTATAAAAATGCACATCTCTTTTCATAACAGATTTTTGCCAATGTGATAAGCAAAATATTTCCTTGTTATTTTAATGTGCATTTCTTTGTTTAGTTATAAAGTCATTCTTTTTTCCCTTATATTCGTAAGTCATTTGTATATCCTCTTTTTTCCTTTGCCAACTTTTAAAATTAGGTTTTTGATATTTCTCTTTTCATATGTGAATTCTTTATAGAGAAGGGTAATCTTTTTTTTTTTTTTTTGGTAGTTTTAGCAGTTTTCTTTCAGCTTGTTGTTTGCTTCTAATTTTTTTGTTTGTTTGTTTGTTTGTTTGACCACACTGTGTGGCATGTGAGATCTTCTAACCAGAGATCAAACTTGTGCCCCCTGCACTGGAATTGTGGAGTCTTAACAACCACCTCCAGGGGAGTTCCCAAATTCATGGTGTTTTTGATATGCAGATTTTAACATTTTTTAGAGAGTTTTATTAATATTTTTCCTTTACAATTCTTCCATTGCTTTTATGCTAGGACAGAACATCCTGCACCTTGTACAGAATTAGTCCATACTCTATTTTTTTCTTGTTTTATGGTATTTTAAAAAATTATTTAATCTATGTGGCATTTACTGGGGACTTCCCAGGTAGCTCAAGTGGTAAAGAATCCACCTGCCACTGCAGGAGACACAGGAAACCTGGGTTTGATACTTGGATTGGGAAGATCCCCTGGAGAAGGAAATGGCAACCCACTCCAGTATTCTTGCCTAGAAAATCCCATGGACAGAGGAGCCTGGCGGGCTGCAGTTCATGGGGTTGCAAAGAGTCAGACACAACTGAGCACACACGAGTGGAGTTAAACAACATCAAAACAAAGAACTTGTAAGACTGTGGTTCAGGCCAGTTTTGTATTTTTATAATTCCATCCTTTTCCATTCTTTCTGTTTCTCCTTATGTGTTCTTAAGGAATACAGTCTAAGAGAGAAATTGCAGGTATCTATGTGCCCTCTGCTAAATTAACGTTCTTTAGCTTGCAAAGATATAAAAACACTGACTTAACTAGAGAACCGTAAAGTCCATGACTCTGTGATAGTTCTAATTATGTAGAAATCGAACTCCTCAAAATAAATGTAATTGCCTTAATTGTACAAAATGTCCATATATATTAGATTGGTCATATGAAATTGCTGATAGTCAACTAATTATATAGTTTACCCTGCTATCATTAGTCAAATCTACACTCTTTAAAATAGAGAAGCCTGTTAGATAGGAAGGGAGGTGTTTTGTTTGTTTGTTATATTTGGTCTGTTTCTGATTCCACCCATAAAGAAGCAAGAGGGGTTGAGTACAGTGAGAACTGGTATGTCAAGAACTTTTGCAGACCAACTTGTAAATGTCAGCACTGGTGATGCCATTTTATGTTTGTGAAACTCACTTGTGTAAGTCTATAATGAACCCTCTTGGCAGCATTTGTGACCTAGAACCTTTGCTAAACAGATCAGACCCTAGTGGATGTGGATAAAATTTTGAGAGGATCAAGAATTAATGCCAGCTTAAGAGTGCCAGTTTCTTCCTTCATTTTCTCTCTGGTTTTGAGAGATCTGTTTTCTGCATGGTAGCGAATGCTGTTATGCCGGAAGGCAGAAAGTTTAGGCTGTTTAGTCATACATCTTAAATATTTGATGAACTGTCACCTCAGTGATAAATCATGAAGCTTCCTCCGTGAGGTCATTGTTGGAATTCACTGTTGGAGGAAACCAATGCAACATTTAAGCTGAATTTTGAATCGCAGCTGGATGTCTTGGTGAGCCCTGTGGATTGTTTTCCAAAAACCATAGTACTCATCACTGTTACACATGCTGGATATTTATTTGTTTCTTTCTTTTTTGAAGGTGGTGGGGTATGCTTGCTAGTTTCTTCTGTACAGCAGAGTGAATCAGCGTTATGGATTTCCTTCTCATTTAAGTCACTACCGAGCACCAGGGTAGGGTTTCCTGCCCTGTACAGTCTGTTGTGATTAGCTTTCTGTTCTATGCACAGTAGTATACATGTCAATCTCAGTGTCCCAGTTCACACACACCTCCCCCCCCCTTCCATCATTTGTTCGTTTCTTACCTGCTTTTCTCTGCCAGTATATAAGTGCCATGTAAGAAGGGACTTCATTTTTGTTCACGGCTGTATCCCCAGTGCCTGGAATAGTGTGTGGACCTACTGACACTCAAATAAATATTTGGTAAATGAATGAAGAAGTAAGTGAATAAGAGTCTTCTAAATAATGGTATTTCCTGGCTCAGCCTACTGAGTATATTTAACTTGTCATATGTATGAAGGAGGCTGATCATAGCTCAGCATCTCCGGTCTTCCTGGGAGACCTGTGCTCAAGATCTCTTCTGATATTTGAGCCTAAGGCCAAGCCCAGATGTGCTTAGAACTCTTTGGAAGCCTGGATGCTGGGATGTGAAGCCTGCTAGACAGACCCTGGACTGGCCTAGAGGCAAGGGAGGGGCCTCCGCTGCTCCCCACGCAAGCTCTGAGGTCGTGGCTGGTGCTGGCCCAGGGGCTGGTCTCCTTCTGTCCCTATGGGACTTTTGTATCTTTGCTGTTTGGGAGCATTGAACATCTTTAATATTTTCCATTAAAAAGATTGTGTTTAGCTTGACTGCACTTCTAAAGTTTTCTTTTCAGGGAAAGAAATCAAAATATGAGGAAAGCCTGTGAATTCTGGCTGTGCTGAATGGAAGGAGGCGCTCCGGGAGGTTCTGGGCGGCTCACACATGTGTTCTCCATTCTCTCTTTCAGGCCCTTTCCACCTTTTAAAGAATGGCTCCTCCTTGGCAGAGACTGGGTTTATATGCCTTTCTTCTAAAACAGCAGCTAAACGATGGGCCAGATGTCATTAAGTGGGGAAGGAGAGTGATTCCAGGATGGTCCAGAGGTATTTACAGTGCCACAGGAGAGTGGACCAAGGAGTATACATTGCAGACAAGAAAGGATGTGGAGAAATGGTGGCATCAGCGAATAAAAGACCAGGCCTTCAAGGTTTCAGAAGCTGATGTGAGTATTCTAAGAGATGCTGAAAGGATTGAGAAGAGGGGCGAAGGGCGTGATCTGGGGTCAGATTGCCTGGATTCAAATAAGTTATTGAGTGTGTGACCTTGAACCAAAGAACCAAATCTCTCTAGGCGTCAATTTTTTTTTTTAATTGAAAATAAGCAGTGATAATAGTAGTGCCCACCTGCTTCCCAGGAGGCTGGTGACGGGTCACTGGGATGAGACCAGGAGGGTGCTCGGAGGAGTCTCAGTGAGGTGCACGTTCACATAAGGGGCACACGGATGGTGCCACATTGGGCATTGTGGAGCCTCATTTACTGGGGGAGCTCACCCAGACAGGAGCTCCAGCAGACGTCAGCTTCTCTGTGGTCCGCTGCCTGGGGGGGCGACATGCAGGGATCTGGCAGGGTCAGATAGGAGACTCCAGGAAGGGCATGTGGGCCTCTCAGCTGTGGGCTTTTTAAGTGGCATGTTCTAAGAACTGCCTCCCCTGCCCCTGGAATGATGTTGGTCTCCAACCCTGCTCTGCCATCTTGATTGGGGAGGTCCCAGCCCTTCCCTGGTGTAATCTGGAGTTGGGGTCCAACCTCACGGTCACAGATATATAAGTTAGTGGACCCTTGGCTTCTAGTCTGTCTGCACCAGCTCAGCGCTCTACCTGAATTCATTGTCTTAAGCACTTGGCTGTAACCGGTTTCCATGGCATATTCTGCTGGAAGCCAGCTTCTTCTCTGGGAGGCCAGCCTGGTGTGAATCAATCTTAGATGTGTTAACCCTTACCACTCAATATTGGTCACAATATGGAAGATGTGGTTTGGTACATGAAGTGAATCTGATTAGAGTATACCACTGTTAAGTACAGTTTTACTCTTAAAATTCTGACCATCCTTTCATAATAGTTACCAGTCAAATAATATAAACTCTCTCTATGTTCAATTAAAGACATTAGGACAAAGGCAAGCAGTTGCATAAATATATATTTGCTCAAGACTACAGTGTGCTAGAATCACCTTCTCTGATTCTCCTCTCTCATCAGACTCATTCTTTCTATGAGATTGATCATTATGAAAAATGGGGGGTGGGTAGCTATTTGTGTTAAACTGAAGGATGGTTTTTTGCCTTAGTTACGAAGAAAATCTGAATTGAAAGATAAGTAATATGTGATATGATAAAAAGGAAGGTTTAAATGAAATGCATAATTATACAATGAAAGCTTAACTTATACCTCATTAGGAAGTGAAAATTCTTCATGGCAACATGACCAGATTAATGTAGCTAAATGTATTTTGGAAGCAGACCTTAGGGAGAAGTTTAATTCTGAGTGAGGAGCATAAAATTAGCTTCTTTTTCTTTTTCCTTTTGGTTTAGATTCAGTGGCCTCCAAACATTTTGAAGTTGTAGCTTTTTGTTCTTGTGACATTGCATTCTTAAGTGTATGGTTTTCTAAAAAATTAAATGGATCAAAATAAACTATGCTTGACTAATTGGGTAAATAGCTTTATGAACATTTTGGGTGATCCCCCGGTGGCATTCCGTCAGGGTTTGAATTGGGAAAGGGTAAAGTGGAGAGGATGCTAGATAAGGAGTCTGGAGCCTGGGCAGTAATTCTGGCTCTGTTCCCAAATCACTGTGCTCTCAGCAGCATCGCTTCACCTCTCTGATCCTCAGATTCTTTGCATTGTTTATCCCACAGAATTGTTTTGAAAATCAAAGGAGAAAATAAGATTAAACTCATTTTACAAACTGAAGTGTTATATAAATGAAAGATGCATGCTAAGTCACTTCAGTCTTGTCTGACTCTTGGCGGCCGTATGGACCGTATCCTGCCAGGCTCTCCTGTCCATGGAATTCTCCAGGCAGGCATACTGGAGTGGGTTGCCATGCCCTCCTCCAGGGCATCTTCCCAACCTAGGGATCGAACCCACACCTCTTATGTCTCCTGCATTGGCAGATGAGTTCTTTACCCCTAGCACCACGTGGAAAGCCCCATGAGTGAAAGATACAAGAAGATAAAAATGTGTGGTGTATCTTTGACAGGAATGAGCATATGACTAGATGCTGGTAGATTTTAAAGCTATGATCAGTCTCACTCTGGTAGTAGCTACATTTGAAATCTACTGGAAATGAGTTTCTAGAAGTTGAATGTTTTACCCTCATCATCATCATCATCGTTATAAAAAGAACTTCCATTTAGTGAGCATTTTAGTGTATCAGGCACCATCTTTCCTTTCATTATCTCATTTAAGTTCTGAAACAGCCCTAGAGGTGCATAGTAGTATCCTCATTCTGGAGTAAGAAAACTGGGAGGGAAGTTTGGTTAAGTTGTTGAGATGCAGAACTCACTTGCTGTTGTTCAGTCACTAAGTCATGTCTCACTGTTTGTGACCACATGGACTGCAGCACGCCAGGCTCCCCTGTCCTTCACTATCTCTTGGAATATGCTCGAGCTCATGTCCATTGAGTCAGTGATGCCATCCAATCATCTCACCCTCTGTCCTCAATCTCACTTGTGGCACAGCCCAGATCCAGACATATTTGAGTCCTAAGCTCATGCTTTCACCAGGAACCTTCTTTTGTCTCACCTTTGATTTACAGACTGTGAACTGAACCCAGAAGAACAAAGGAATTTGCCTGAGGTGTCACAACTAGTGGCAGAGCTTGGACCAGATCCCAGGCTGCAAGCTTCCACTGAGTGGTCCACCTCCCTCCATTCTCTAGTCTTAGGAAGAGTTTCAGAGCACGATCCATAAAGAGGCAGAAGTTATCTTTCTTCTGATGTCAAAAGCTGGCAAAAATAATAGGACCCACTTATATAAAAACCATCCATTTTCCATCACTTCCAATCTTAATTTCTATTAAAGGCTTAAATTATTACACTTTTATATAATTATGAAAATGTCCCTTTCAATCAGATTCCTGCTAAATTATAAACTCCCCAAATCCGTTCCTCTACCCTCGGAGAATAGAATTCATTTCATTGTCACAGAGGAAAATGACTTAGTTCACACAGAGAAACAGAAGGCAGGGACAAGCAGTGAGCTGAACACCTTTTCTGCAATAAACAAAAGTATTCATGAATAGTAAAAACTTTTGCTAGCAGTACTTTTCTGTATCTTCTGTGGACTCAATACTCCGAAATCACTGCAGATGGTGACTGCAGCCGTGAAATTAAAAGACGCTTGCTCCTTGGAAGAAAAGCTGTGACCAACCGAGACAGCATATTAAAAAGCAGAGACATTACATTTTGCCGACAAAGGTCCATCTAGTCAGAGCTATGGTTTTTTCCAGTAGCATGCATGGATGTGAGAGTTGGACTATAAAGAAAGCTGAGTGCCAAAGAGTTGATGCTTCTGAACTGTGGTGTTGGAGAAGACTCTTGAGAGTCCCTTAGACTGCAAGGAGATCCAACCAATCCATCCTAAAGGAGATCAGTCCTGACTTTTGATAGGATTGATGCTGAGGTGAGGCTCCAATACTTTGGCCACCTGATGTGAAGAATTGACTCACTTGAAAAGACCCTGATGCTGGGGAAGATTGAAGGCGGGAGGAGAAGGGGACCACAGAGGGTGAGATGGTTGAATGGCCTCACTGACTCAATGGACATGAGTTTGAGTAAGCTCCAGGAGTTGGTGATGGACCGGGAAGCTTGGTGTGCGGCAGTCCATGGGGTTACAAAGTCGGGCATAACCGAATGACTGAACTGAACTGAACTAGCTCGTATGTAATGAATTCCTCAATTTTGCCATAAGTTTCATCTTTGTTGGAGAGACATAAAAAAAAGAGATATTAATGAAGAAGCTATATGTAGCAAATGTTTGAGATAAGATTGTTAAATAAACAATTTTTAAAATAAATTTCATAATAAAAACAAGGTAACTATAATAAAAATGCATTTAATGTAAAAACTTTAAAATGAAAAACTAGAAATTGTGTATATCAAATATTTTATTGTTTTTTCAGGTCCCAAAGAACTCTGTAACAACCGTTTTCTTATGTCCCTAAAAATCCCCCAAAAAGAAACAGTAGGCCTAATCTATGTCAGCGAGTAAGGTGGAATTGAGTGGATAGTCTGCTTATTTCTCATTCTGTACCAAGTATCAGAATGAGGTCTTGCACTTTCTTTGAGGGAGTTGTTTACAAGCTGAGAGGATCGTCTGTCACTTGCCTTCTTAAGAAGAAAGTCCTAAGTCCCCAGTGACTCCTGAATCTCAAGTTGTCTCTCTTGCTTCTGAGATTTTCCTGAGTTATGGTTCCATAGTTTCCAATTAAAGTGCGTGATCAATGTGGGGCTTTCCATCCATTTCTAGAAATCAATAGCAGCTGTCACTTTAGTATTACAGGTTTCCAAGTTTATTATGCAAACTCCTTATTTATTCACTTTCCCTTCCCTCCCTTCAGGCAACTTGACTTACCACACACTTGATAATTTCTAGAGGATGTGCAGTATAGAGAAAAGTGCCACTCTGGTCTGTCTTACCACACGATAGTGGCCCTGCTAAAGATTTGTTCACCTTTGTTGAGGGAAGTTTAAAGCAAGGGGTCAAGTGAGATTTGGAAAGAATTTCTGGTTTCTTCTGCTTCCCTGATTACAGTTGGCTGTCAATTATCAGTCATGCAAATAAATACTTAGCAAAAAGTACTCCCCCCCCCCAATACCCACTTGCACGCATAAGAATGGTCATGAATATTCTGTTTTGCATTTGTTTTCATTAATTTTGGAGAAGCAAAGCCTTGAAGACCTCTTGTAGAGCTTTCGGAAGGGAGTAAGGACAGAAAAAGAGAAACAGGAGAAAAAAAGTAGTGATAACATCAGAGGATCCAGACACTTAGTGACTAAACAGAAGCAGTTACCTGTTCTCTTCCTTTCTTCAGAGGCATCCCTTCTCCCCCGTGCAAGGATTTAAGGCTGAGTGTGGGTGACGCTCCTGTCACCTGGACAGGGTAGTGAAGTGTGCCGGGAAGAGTGCCTGTGAGTAATCAGTGATCTCCAAAGGCCTGTTCTCAGGCTTCAGAGCACAAAGGCCTATAGACATTTACCCAACAGTTTGTTAAACTAGGGGGTCAGCCAGGAAGGTGGGGGTTGGGGTGGGGTTAGATGGTTAAAGCATGATCCTTGCCCTTGAACAACAATTCCTTAAGGTCCCCAATAAGGAATCAATTAAATGCCTACCCCCTTTGCAGCCTTCCCCCTCGTGTGCACAAACTTGTGTCAACATTCACCATAATAGCCCTTGAACAACAATTCCTTAAGGTCCCCAATAAGCAATCAATTAAATGCCTACCCCCTTTGCAGCCTTCCCCCTCGTGTGCACAAACTTGTGTCAACATTCACCATAATAAGAACTAAGGTCCCGAAGGTTGACGTTCCCGTGAGGACGTCCTGCCCTGTGCTCGTTTGTGTTCCAATGCATGTACCTTTTTTCTCTTTCTCGTGATGAAACTGCGTCTTTGGATGCTGGAGAGTTACATAACCCTGGCCTGAGGCTGCCTGTAGATCACCCCATGGGAAACAGCAACCTGGCTAAGATTTTCTCATTACCTTCCCATTTCAGCTTTTCTGTTGAAAGATAAGCTCACAGTACAGCAGAGAAACCTGGAACCTGAACCCGCACCTGGGGACCCTGCTCAGTCCAAATCTGCATGCAGCTTCCCGGAATTTAGAGAGGGGCTCCATTTTAGACTTGTCACCTCTCTGTGATTCACTGTTGTCTCCATGAATTTTATGGGCACATGTGTCAGAGCTTCATTTGGAAAAACATACAGTTCTTTAAGTCCTAGATAGCTGTGCTAAAAGGGCAGATTTAAAAATAACTAGGGGTAATTAGCACTGTGAGGTTGTTTGGCATTGTTTTGGACATTCTTTAGCATAACTCAGGGCTTCGAATTTTGATATTTGGTATTTTTGTCCATTTACCTTATGAGAATGGGTTTTTTTTTTTTTAAAGAAAACTTTTGAAAATGTTAAATTATTACTTTGAGTAAAATGCCAAAATATTATATGCGTACCTAGTTCCCTGTGAATGATTAATAAATACTCATTGTATTTTTCTGTCATCCTTTCCTAGAAATCAAAGCCCAAGTTTTACGTGCTCTCCATGTTCCCTTATCCCTCTGGCAAGCTGCACATGGGCCACGTGCGCGTGTATACCATCAGCGACACCATTGCACGCTTCCAGAAGATGAGAGGGATGCAGGTAAGGCCAGGTGCCTGCTGGGGTGGCACTTTCCTGCCCCGCTCAGGACAGTAAGAATGTAGGACAAAGGAGACACCCAGTCTCAGTTAAGATTAGGGCAACTTTGAAGATAAACATGAGAGCTTAGGGTTTCCAATGATGAACGGGAGGACATAATAAAGCATCAGGATTAACTGGGGGGCAGCTGTGTACTGGGTATTGTGCTGGGGCGGGAGGTCGGGTGCCGATGCAGTGGAAGCGTTTATGCCTGTGGGTACCATGTTGATCCCACCTCAGGAGGAGTTCTCAGTGTGGTGGGACTGTTACCCTCAATAGACAGACACTGGGGAGCGGAATGAATCCAGTAGAACAAAAGAGGAGCAAATGCTGTGAGTAGGAGGTAGAGCCCCAGAGAAATTTTTCTCCTTGTATTTTGATATTCTCTGTATTCTCTAATGAGCACATATTTATCTTATAATGGAAAAAGTCAAATTTTCCTAACACAAAAATTTGGAGGGAAGTAACAGCCCTGTGGGAGTTGGGAAAGACTCCTTCATAGGGGACCATCTGACATGGGTGTTGATGGACAAGGTGAACTTTCCTGGGAGAGGAAGAGAACAACACTTCCATGGCTGATGTGTGTCAGACCCCTTTCACCGCCAGCTACCCAGAGCAACACATCATCTGTAAGACAAGGCAGCAGTGGTTGTAGTAGCTTCTTGAACAACTTCCAGAGAGAGGTAGCATCTAAGAGGGGCTGAAAGCGTGGACCCATGAATCAAATAGCCAGCACTGAGCTTCTAGCTCTTAACACTCAGTAAGTAGTCGACCTCGGACTCATTACTGATTAACCTCTCTAAACTAAGACCTAGTTTTCTCTCATCAGTAGAAAGGGGATAAAATAGTACTTGCCCACTGGCCTTTCCCAAGGATTGAAAGATGATGACTATGAAGCACTTGGCGCATAACTGGCGCATAAGCACATAACAAGTAAATACTGTCGTCATCAGCAGATGGCTAGAGCCTGCCGTACCAGGTCCTGAGAGCCGTGCACACCTCTACCCAACTTCGTGTTAATTATTTGTCACCTTAGTAGCTCAAAATCCACCCAGGATGGGAGTATTTACATCATGGAGATCAGCAGAGCCTGCAAATCAGGGCTTTTTCTGCTAGAGAGTCTATTGTTAAACATTTACCTGCACTCCCCCTGGCTGTTGCTGTTATTAACCTCTTAGGGTCTGTATAAAGGGTATCTGCTGCCTCCTAGTTCTTTCTGAAGATTTTGTTTTAAAGTGGTAAGTGCATCCATTGTCATAATTGGTTTGAAAATTTGTGCCGAGCTGACCCTGGCAACAAGAAGTATTCCTAAAAAGGAAGTCAGGGTACTGTGTCTCTCTGTCCCTCGAAGAGTTAACGACTTTTACTGTCAGATTCAGAGATCTGCCTTCTACCAGGGCCGTCACCCTAGGCTCTGCCAGGTGTTATTTTCCCCCGCCGGATTGCTTTCCATCACTTCTGCAGTGTTTATTGGAAAGAGGTGGTGCAGAATAAACTGGCTCTTGTCAGGAAGTATATCTAACTGTGCTTCTTCAACTAGATTTAATCTTGTTTTTTTTTTTAACTTAAGCCAACTTGTTTTGAACAGTTAGTGAGTACAGGCAGTTGCTACAGACTAAACTTTCCTAGCAAAACTGTGTGTTTATGGTACATTAGCAGATAGGTGGTTGAGGGGGTGTAGGTGGAACTCTGATTCTCTTGGATGAATGAGACATTACAGACAAAGCTCCAGGCAGAACCCCAGGCCCAGACTTACTGGGACCCTTATAGGCAGCTCAAGCCCAAGAGACAAAATGGAGTCCCTTACCAGTAACCGAAACCCAAGGTCAGGCTGAACTCAGGGGTTGGGCAACCCAGGTTTGACCCTCTTAACACCACTTTCTCAGTGAGTGACCTTGCACGAGTCATTGAATCCCTTAAAATAGGGATAATATTTATTCTTCCCTCCTGGGTTGTTGTTCAGGATAAATGAGACAGTATATGTGTCTGGCCAATAATAATCCCCTAAAAAAGGTGGAAGGCTCCAGAATCACTGCAGATGTGACTTAAGCCAGAAAATTAAGATGATTGCTCCTTGGAAGGAAAGCTATGGCAAACCTAGAAAGTTTATTAAAAAGCAGAGACATTACTTTGCCAACAAAGATCCATATAGTCAAAGCTGTAGTTTTTCCAGTAGTTACATATGGATGTGAGAGTTGAACCATTAATAAGGCTGAGTACTGAAGAATTGATGCTTTCAAACTGTGGTGTTGGAGAAGATTCTTAAGAGTCCCTTGGACTGCAAGGAAATCAAATCAGTGAATACTAAAGGAAATCAACCTTGAATATTCATTGGAAGGACTGAAGCTGAAGCTGAAGCTCCAGTAGTTTGGCCACTTGATGCAAAGAGCTGACTCATTGAAAAAGACCCTGATGCTGGGAAAGATTGAGGCCCAAATGAGAAGGTTGCTGCAGAGGATGAGTTGGTTAGATAGTAACACCGACTCAAGGGACATGAATTTGAGCAAACTGGGAGATAGTGAAGGACAGGGAAGCCCAGTGTGCTGCCGTCCATGGGGTCTCAAAGAGTTGGACACAATTTGTTGACTGAACAGCCACAAATGGTTATTTTGTAAGTAAGTAAGTCAGATCAGTATAAATGCCCTTCTTGAAGGGATCTTCCTGACCCAGGGATTGAACCTGGGTCTCCCGCATTGCAGACAGATTCTTCACTGCCTGAGCCACCAGGGAAGCCCTGCTCTGGGAAGTCACGTAATAAATGAAATTAATCTAATTCATTTCATAAATGACTGTGTACTCTCTTCTGCCCACTGCATGGATTTGCCTTTTGAGAAGCATCCAGACATTGCCTGCTATTTGTATCATCTATCCTGTGACTTGGTTGGTGCCTAAGATCACCCTGTGTTATTTGGTTTATGGTATCTTAGTGACCAGCAGGCACCTTGGGTTCCCTGCATTCCTGTTTCAGTTGCTCTCTTTAAGATGATAAACTGTCTGTGGAACGGGAGGGTATTCTGCAGGTTCTCCTGAGATTAATTTCTTGTTAATTTTCATAGCCCATATTTAAGTCAGATCATCCCCAAAATAACTGCCAAATATGGTGAAAGATTTGCCCTGCCATTTCTAAGTTATCGTGGCAGAAAAGACACAAACCTCTGTCAATAGAGATGGTCAACCGTGTGAAAGCCTGTTGAACTTCCTGCTGTTTTAAAATCCTTCTCTCCCAATGTCAGGATTAGTCCCAGGGATAGAGCAGGGTTGGGTTCAGGTCAGATCTCAATGATCCTGACTCTAAGGAGGGAAGGAATATCTGATCTGGAATAAGAGCATCTGACATGTGTATTGATTAATTCATTAGGTACATAGTCCTTGGGCACCAACTTTGTTCGAAACACTGGCCTTTCTACTGTACTATAGAGCAGGACTGGAATCATAGGTTCAAAGTCTGTCAGTAAGCCGTCTTCTCTAACTTGTTGATTTGTTCTTCTTTGCTGTGCTGAGTCTTTTCTTCCCGCGTGGGCCTTTTTCTCTAGTTGCAGTGAGTAGTGGCTGCTCTGTTATGGCGCGCCAGCTTCCCAGTGCAGTGGCTTCTCTTGTGGAGCGCAGGCTCTCGGGCGCACAGTTGCAGTTGTTGCAGCGTGCAGGCTCAGTAGTTGTGGCACATGGGCTTAGTTGCTCCATGGCATATGGGATCTTCCTGGACCAGGAATCGAACCTGTGTCTCCTGCATTGGCAAGTGGTTTCTTTACTGCTGAGCCACCAGGGAAGCCCTGATTTGCATAATTCTTGAATGGAGGTATGGGAGTCATTCTGAGGCATGCTAGGAACAGCAGATGGGAAGTAAAAGGTGGGCTGACCTCTGCACCAAGCCTACAGTCTCCTACGCCACCAGTGACCTCCCTGGATGTGTCTCTGTCCTCATCCTTTCTCACCTCAGCGGCATGTCATACCGTGGACCACATTCCCCCACTCCTTGAAAGGCTGTGCTCTCGGCACGAGATCCCACTCTGCAGGTTTTTCTTCTGCATCTTGCTCTCTTCCTCTCAGTTTGCTCCACAGGGTTTTCCTGCTCTGCTCCATCTTTGCATCCTCTTATCCAGTTGGAAAGTTCTGTTCAGGCATACCTCGGCGATAGTGTGGGTTTAGTCCCAGACCACTGCAATAAAGCATATGTTGCAATAAAGCGAATCATGTGAAATTTTGGTCCCAGTGCATTTATAAGTAATTTTTACATTATACTGTGGTCTGTTGTGTGCAGTAACATTATGTGTTCTAAAAAAATGTACATACCTTAATTAAAAAATAATACTGTCAGAAAGTGCTGCCAATTGACTTGCTCAACGCAGGATTGCTACAAGCCTTCAATTTGTAAAAAGCACAGTATCTGTGAAATGCAGTAAAGCAGAGTACAGTGAAACGAGGTTGTCCCTATATTCCTAGTTTGCTGAGAATTTTTCTCATGAATGGATATTCATTTTTTTACTATACCTTTCTGCATCCGTTGAGACAATGCATGATTTTTCTCCTTTAGTCTGTTAATGTGATATATTATGTATATTGGTTTTTAATATCAAAGCACCCTTGTGTTCCTAGGATAAAGTTGATTTGGTCATGATGTACTTTTGCGTCTGTATTGCTGTATTCATTTGTTAATATCCCTGTGAGCCTGAAGGCCACTGCCCTGTAATTATTTTTTTTTGTTTCTTGTAGTGTCTTTGTATTTAATATCAGGGTTATGCTGGCCTCATAAAACAAGCTAGAAAGTGTTCCCTTCTTCCCATTTTCTGAAAGTACTGTGTGTTACTGGTGTTATTTCTAGCTTTATTGTTGAATAGCATTCACCAGTGATGGTATCTTGACCTAACATTTTCTTTGTGGGAAGTTTTAAAATGACATTTCTATTTCTTTAATGGATATAGGGCTGTTCAGATCTTCTGAGTTCTTTTGTGTGTGTGTGTCCATTT